CATGAAATTGGTGACCTGACTCCTAATCACTCTCTCAAATTCTTTTATGATGTACGATGTTAGTGCAACTGACCTATAATTCTTTGCCAATGCTTTGCTCCCTCCCTTGTGTAGAGGGGCTATGTCTGCTACTTTAAGTGCATCTGGTATCTCCCCCATGTTCAAGCTCTTCCTCCACATTATACTGAGTGCCTATGCTACCGGCACTTTGCATTTCATTATAAATATTGAATTCCATGAATCTGGACCTGGGACCGAGTGCATGGGCATGTTTTCAATTTCTCTTTCAAAGTCTAGTGCGCTCGTGTTGATATTTACAAGGGTTTGAATATCCCTCATAAAGAAATTGTCTGGATCTTCCACTTTCATGTTGTTTATTGGAGTGCTAAACATGTCCTCATATTGCTTTTTTAGGATTTCACTAATTTCCTTGTCATCCTCTGTGTATGAACCTTCACTTGTACGAATAGATCCAATACTGGCAGTGGTTTTTGCTTTTGATTTCGCATATGTGAAGAAGTATTTTGGATTCTTCTTTATTTCCTGAATTGCTTTCTGTTCTAACTGCGTTTCTTCAGTTTGATATAAGTGTTTTAATTTCCGCTCGATTTCTTCAATCTCCCTATTTAAATTATTCCTTCGTGTCTGCATAAGCATTTCCGTTATTTTTTTCATTCTTTTACAGTGTCGTCTGCGTTCTCTTTCTACGTTGAATCTCTTTCTGGCTTTCCTCAAAGGAACATGTTTCAGACTTGATACGCTTCCGAAGTCAGTTTTTCTATTCCTTCTGTAGGACTTGTATTACTTAGAACATTTTCCCAAGGAATGTTTGTAAGTTCCCTGTTTATTATCTCCCAGTCTATACTTTTTATTATTAAAATTGAATTTACTGAATAGCCCCTCTCGCTTTATCAACGTTTTAGGTCTATTCTGAGTATTGATGGTCGTTTGCACTTCAATGAGCTTGTGATCTGAGTATGTGGTATCTGATATCGTAATGTCTCTGATAATGTCTTCATTGTTCATAAAGACTAGACCTAGAATATTTTCATTTCTCGTTGGCTCCGATATCTGCTGGTTGAGTGAAAACTTGTCACAGAATCTAAGTAGTTCTCTAATCTGTGGTTGGTTAGGTCTCGATAGATTTCCTTGTATAATATTATTGTTTGCTATTCTCCACCCGAGACTAGGCAAGTTGAAGTCACCTAGGAAGATAATATCAGGTATCGGGTTCTCCAAATTATCAAGGCTATTCTCTATTTTGTTTATCTGTTCTGTGAATTCCTCGGCCGTTGCATCTGGCTGTTTGTATATTAGAATAATCACAATTTATTTTCTCTATTTTTAATCCCAGTACCTCTACCACCTCATTTGTAATGTTAAGGAGCTCCGAGCATACAAGGTCTTCCCTAATATACAGACCCACTCTTTCATGTGACCTAATTTTCCTATCACACCTGTATAGGTTATATCCTGGAATCCAGATCTCACTGTCTAAGAATTCCCCTGCATGGGTTTCTGTGAAAGCTCCAAATACTGCATTTGACTCCGTGAGGAGGCCATTTATGAACTGTACTTTGTTGTTTGTTCTTGTTTTCAGTCCTTGTATGTTGGCAAAGATGAATGAGGTTACTCTATTAGTGATAGTTTGAATGGGAGACTTTTTCGGCAAGCCCATTATTCGTGGACATAATGAGTTTGTTCTGACCAGTACTGATTGTTGTAGGGCAGTTGTCTGTAGTAGTTGTAGTTCCCTTTCGGTGGGTAATTGTATCTGTAATTCTGGAATGCAAGTGGATCTGGCATCCAGTTCCATACATTCTCCATGCTCCTCCTTTTGAATTCTCTTTCGGTTTGGTATAAAAAAATTATCGAGTTTCCTCCAAATTCATTATCTTTTGGACTGTTTGAATTCATTCACCTTTTGGACTTTTTGAGTTCGTCCGGATGCCTTTTGGTCTACGGAATGCAGCCCAGACATTCCAACGCTTCATCGACCAAGTAGTTAAGAACCTTCCTTTTTGTTACGCCTACATTGACGATCTGCTGGTGGTCAGTACATCACCGACAGAACATCTACTACACCTCCGATTCCTTCTCACCCGTCTGTGCAACTTCGGCTTGCAGCTCAACTCCGACAAGCGTATTTTCCTTTCATCACCTGGAAAGAGGAGTTCTGTAATTGATACCAAGAAGAGCTTTGCTTCTCTTATTAGGCTAATGCGTTTGGAGCGAGTATATTATTGGGATAATCTACTCGCTACAGGAAAATTTGTTTTGGTTGACGTGTCTCTGGGAACGGATTACGATCATAAACGAAGATATTACTGTACACAGAACAAATGATAGAAAATACATTTGTGGCGACTCGCAGTGCTTGAGTGGCCCGTGCGACCGCCCCTGGAAGTTTCACTCACAAGCGCACAGCAAATGATGATGTCACATGCCACCCTCCTCCAAGTCCCTACAACCAAAGTAGGTGGAATTTGTTTGTTTTTTACATGTACATGTTCAGGGAAAGAAATTTATCATTTTACAAAGATCAAATTTTTGGGAGGCAATTTTTTATTTTTGACGTACAGGGGAAATGTCCCAATAAAACCGGTGCATCACAGTGGTTAAAGAACGTAATAAAATAATCCTGCCGCGTCCGACAGCCTGGTTGGCCAGGCAATCGACTTGGTCTGGTCTGGATCTGGGCCGTGGGGACCTTGAACCCTGCAACCACTGCAAGGTAAGGTAAGGTAACCCTACAAAGTTTGGCAAGATTTGTTCCAAGTGACTGGCCGTTAACCTCTAACACTCATTTATTGATAGAAACTTCCACATTTTATGCTTTTGAAACACTGATATCGAGTTGGTTTTAAACAGAAAAAATGGCCCGGCTCAACTAAGACACTTTCGTTTACCATATAAAATCTTTTGGAGGGAATTTTTTAATGGCAATCACTTTTCTTACTACTGTATAAATAAATTAAAAAGTACATTTTTATTTATCCGAGCCTCAAAACAGTATCTCAGATTTTCAGTTTAACCCCTAAACTGCTCGGCTTCCAAATATGACCTTGCCCCCCCCCCCCCCACTGTGCGCAGGAAATAAATTCTCTGGATTTTTTTTTTAACACTTTGGCGTACCCCGCGCGCCACCCCTCAACTGTGCGATTTGGGTCCCAGGGTTTCACGGGAGCGCGTGTAAATTCTGAAAAGTGTATACTCTCTTCAACTTTGTCACCTTAATTCTCGTCCTACGAGATTAAATTTGGTATCATTGTGTTCGCAATAGAATTCTCTACAGCACTAAATGCATATGAACTCCAAAAGCCCGGCTAATTACCCGCAGCAAACAGAGAAATTGCGAACGAGTTACCCAGGAGCGTACAAACGCGATAAAATGTTTTCACTATTTTCACTCTGGTCACCTCAATTTTCGTCCTAGGTCTTTCATTTTGGTCTCAATGGGTTTGCAATAGAATTCTCTAGAGGAACATTAGCATATAAAATAAAAAACCTGGTCACGCTCCAACCACCGACGAGTTGAAGACGGGCCACGCGTTAGCCGCGAGTGAGCGCTCAGACGCCTTCCAGCTACACTCCCAATTCCCGCCCTTTTCAAGCCTTTCTTTGTCAATTTTCTTCCTGGAAGGGCCTTGTTCATGATCACTATCCATCGTGGAGTAAGCGTAGATAGTTTCTAAAGCCGCAGTAAGAAATGTAGCCACGGAAAATAGCCGAAATGTTCACACGTTTGAGATGCGAGGGGAGGCGACATCTGTCACAACAGTGGAGCGAAAACAATGGGCCGACGGCGTGAGCGGAGCCGCCTGCGGGCCACAAGGCGCAACAAAGAAAATGGGAAGACATCGGCGCGCATTTTAAAACCAGTCCCCAAAAAATCGGATAAAAACCTGATTTTTGGCGATTATTTAAAGTGGATGACGCAATGCTGCGTCATCCCCGGCATTACCGACAGTAAACGGATGACGCAATGCTGCGTCATGCCCAGGCGAAAGTGTTGAAAACCCTTCCCTGAGTATGGATATGTTAACAAAAAGTCGAAATTGTACTTACTTTGGCTGCTATGGGGTCCGTAAGTTCGTGCGTGACGTCATCAATCCCTGGCGCCCGTGGCATATGCCCCCGGGGCCACTAACGCGCCCGGCTCATGATGCCCTAGTTGCCACGAATATATTTTTGTTAATTTTTTGCGCACAGTTCCAAATACATTTTAATTTGTTTTCATGCCAGTCCTGTATATAATGAACACGTACAATATATTATGGCAGTACAACATCCATACTGTCCGAAGACACTGTTACATGCATAACACGTGTGTACACATATGTTGCACATATTTCCCATGCATCATACTAATTTATGTATATATACAATCTATTTATACACTATACACTATCACACACTATATACATTCACCATCAACACTCAGAACTTTGCGAGTGTCAGCTGCCACACCAGCCAGTCTCCCTCACTCCAACATATTACTCACCAACATTGCTCCTCCCACCATACTGTTATTGTTTTTATTACACTATTTACACATGTATACCTATCTACATGTATTATTCACCAGACCTATGGAAGTAAGCCGGTATTGTGTCCTAACTTTACAGTGGCCACCATACACTGCATGAGAAATCACACAGCAGCCAGCAGACGACGCTACGATTACATCACCTCCCTCACCAAATTTTTTTTTACATTATTAGGCGATGCTGTGGTCACAAGCTGAACAGCAGTGCTGTGAGCTAATGCTGCGTGCGCCAGCCTTGGTTGCTCACTCGGTACTGAGGTTCTCACACCCCGGAATGTGGCCCACAATTTTTTTTAAAGATGGTGTCTGTTTACAAGAGCCCTGAGAAAGCTGATGTGAACCCAATGTAGCTGCAGGAATTTTGAATAGAATGCTAAAAATAAAAATACCCGGAGGCGAGTTGCGCACCCTAGATGTGGGCCTGCAGGCGCACTGCGCAGTTTAAGGGTTAATGGAAATACACTGCCAGAGGTTCAAGCCATGTATTATAATAAACAATATATAACACATATAAAATACATATTTAACAAAATAAATATGTAAAATTTTTATTTTTGAAATTAAAATAATATATAGCTCACAGATTTTTTTTTTTTTGTAAAATCTACACAATAAATTGGCCATTTATTATACAAAAGTTTCTACAGTATTTGGTTAAACAACATGGCTGGTTAATGTCGGACCCAATCAATAGTAAGACATGAGTAATACAAGAACATAAATAATAAAGCCATAAACAGGGGTAACAAAACTAATACAAATTTCTGAGTGTTTCTCCATACAAATTTTGATTAAATTCTTTATTTTCACACTAAATAGGTGAAAAGTTGAAATTGTATACAGAAAATAATGAGGATATTGGAACCACACAATCAATTTGAATCTAAATTTGAATACAGTACTACCGATTTCAACAAGTAGCACCGAGGATGATTTGCGCATCACTCTGTCATTTATTGGGTGCGGGCCAGTACAACTATGTGGACAGCTTTGCCCTTGGTTTAGGGAACATCTAAACCTGACAAAGGTATACCACACCATACTAATTCTAAGCATACAAAAACATAAAACAGCTGCCTGAAGATAAAATAAAATTTTTGTACTGTATTTAACATTTTAGGCAATTTTCTAGAAGCAAAAATTCCATGTCTTTTTCCCAGGATTTTCCATGACTTTGGGAAACCTGAGTAAGATGATGGTGAGAGATGATGTCAGTACTGTATCTGACAAGAATTGTGTGACAAAGAAAAATGTGACAAGAGACATTGACAGGGATTGTGACAGGGAACTAAAAAGGCATAACAACACCACAGTCAACAATATTCACCTCCTTAATATTACTTTGATTGACTGCTGCCCTCAGCACATTCAGTCCACTTGCTACCTTACCAAAAACAGGACCACGTTGTGCACCTTTTGCAAAGTTTCTGGTGTTGATGTAGAATTGGGCAGCCTTGGAACTGCATATCCCATACCATGACATCACAGAACCGGCCTTGCTTGAGAACTGGTAATCACCCTTCAGGTCTGCCACCAAGGAGGCTCCTCCCTCACCATTATTATACTCATAGTCACCACCACTTAAACATTTCCCCGAAGTGTTCTTTTGAAAATTAAAAAGTTTTGAGTCACGGTAAGTTGGACCATTCTGGCCTGTACACAACAATACAAATTGCCTGGCCAACCCAGTGTTAGGGCTCAGCCGAATGCGAACTTGCTCAACTTTTGATCCTGCCCACCAGACGTCAAGAAATGCCAGGGTGGATGAGGGATTTAACGTGTCCATGACTTCGCTGTGCTGCATAAAACAAATAATGATCAAAATACAATATACTGTATAGGTAGAAATGTAAATTATAAAAACTGCATTTAATAATTTTTACACAACTAAATATTTCAAAAAACCAGTGTTGAATGTAATGAAATGCCATTTTCTGAGTGAGACCCGGAGGCTTCCCGGAGATATCCAGGCTGATATCTATATCATTAGACTTTGGCATCAGTGTGAATGGAGTTCTTGGCCTACCGGGGACCACGAGCCAGAACCTGAGCCCCCTCATAGAGGCATGAGGAGCAATGGCCTATAGAAATGCACATGGGATTTGGAGCATTCTATGTCTGCCATCTACCGGGCCAAGCACCCAGAAAGGTAAGCGCCCCAAAACAAACCCCTATTTTGGTTAAAACGAATAAAATAGACAAACGAGTGGACAGAACTCCCCAAATGAAAATGAGCATGACGTCACACGAGCTGCACCGCATGTCTGCAGAGCTCCTCCCTCTCCGGGAGGAGGAAGCCCCAGACCCCCCAGTGCTGGCAATCCACCCTGCAGTTCTCAGGCTGGATGTCAAAAACATGTGAAAAAATGCCGACTGGAGGGAGGGAGTGTTGCCGGGAAGCCTCCGGGTCTCACCCAGAAAATGGAGTTTCATTACATTCAACGCTGGTTTTCTGGGGGGGGGGGGCCTACAGCTCCCCCAAGGCTAACTACCCAAAGCCAAGGACAAACGAGGGACAAACCCGGGAGGCAAAAACCAGGCGTTTTAACATGAAAGCAAAACAAATGGCCACACAAAATGACCCCACGAACGACCCGGGAGACTCGATCCCTGGAACAGGGATGAAGAGAACCCGGGTTAACCCAAAGCACGTCCAGAGCCACAGAGGCCGCCTCACATGCAGGCAACAGTTAGGAGCCACAACCAGACACAAGAAGATGCACCCCCCCCCAGCCAACTAACCATACATCAACAACCCCAGGGACCCTCCCCCCCCCCCCCCCCGGAAAACAGCCATCCCAACCTTTGCCAGAAAATACGAGACGGCCATAAACGAACAAACCGATCACCAGAACTCAAACAAGCAGAAACCACCGAGAAACAAACCTGAACCGAACAAACCGACAAACCAAAGGGAAAGAGAGAGAAAAGAGCACCCTGTCCAAGGCCAGGACGGCTCAGGTGGAGTGTGAGCAGGCTGGAGGCAAACAACACCCGAGACAGCCCGCAAAACGGTGCAGAAGGAACATCAAAACCGAAAGCAATCTGTAGCAGCTCCGCCAGCACCGCATGAGACAAAGCGACAGTATGTGTCAAGACGACGGTCCCGAACCACCACGAGAGAGGGACAAGACCATGTCAACAAAAAGCGCAGTATACCTATGAAGAGACAAAAAGAAAAGGAAGGACCACCAGAAAACCCCATACCGCTGCCGAGACGAAGTACGCAGGTGGGACACCATCAACGAAGCCACCTGATCACTAAACAGATGGTGAGAAACTCGAGTCAAAATTACCACACTTGAAGACTTTGGAGAAGGCCGAACCAGCCCCGTCACAGACTGGACCGATCATTTGAAAGAGGCGGAGCCATGGGTAAACCCCTGGGTGCAACACCGAGCAAGCAGCGCCTGAAACCAATGCTGGCAAGGAACCAGAAGGAACGTCTGCCAAGGAACCAGGAACCCAAACCCAGGAAAGAGCCAACCCGGGCGAGCAGACACGCCTCGTCCGGGAGGACCCCTGAAGGACCAACAAGTCCAATAACGGATGAAAACGAGAAGCCGCTGCTTGCAGAAACTGCCGAATCGCAGACTCCGCCAAAATGGCGACAAAAACCTAAGAGCCAGGGCCCAGGCAGAGGCCAAAGAGGAAGCAAGCATCACGAGGCGAAACGCAAGACGCGAAGCAAAAAAAAAAAACAGCGGGGCAGAACGATGCATGCGTCGCCGAGTAATGCACGAGGAACACCAGTCAGGAAGTGTACCGCACTAAAACAATGTACTGTCTGGAAAAGGAACACAAAGAACATACAAGGAGAAGATGAAAGAACTCAAGTTCTATAACTGAACACTGGGGCTGTTCAATATCAGGGAACTGAACATGTACATAGTCCAACCTAACACTAACATTAGTATAGCCAATGTGCACGTACTAAGTTACCTAACAATGTGTAGTATTTTTACGTAGAAAATACGTAAAAATGACCCAAACAGACCCTAAATATGGTCCAAGCACCGGTAGCTAGGAACAGGAGAGAAAATAATCAATATGATGAACTGATAAAACCTAGGTAGTAATTGATAACATAATGATCAACTATATATAAAGAGGAGAAACCCCAATGTACAGTATATACTATAAGGGTGCAGCCAGGCACTGAACAACTGTCAATGAATGAGTGTCTAGATAGCATTGGCTGAGTCAATGATGGAGAGCCCAGAGTCAAGGAAAGATTCAGTCGCTGAAAGACTAAACAAAAGGCACCGAAATTCAGGGCTGCACCCCACAGTGTAACGAAGAACAAGATATACGTACACAGCAAAGTCATGTTAAGATGCACGCAAATTGGCCAATCAACCCACTACAAACAATACCCTAACACACATTAAAAAATCGAGAACCAGCGTCTGGCTGACAGTGTCGCCAGACCGTATAATCTCCCCTGTTGAGCAAAGACACTATCGTGTCACGACACAGCTGAGCCGTGTAATATTCTGGAGGCATCGCTAGTGGATTATGTCCAGAGTTACGTGTGCAGTAGATTAGGTATAGTGTAGAGGTGGAGGCAGCACCACTCCGAGCCACCCCCACACCCATACGCAGAGAAAAAAGAACTAGGTGTTTTCCCCATATAAAATATCCAGAACTCTTCCAGTATCTAGGGGGCTATGACTGGAGAGATAAGATGAGCGAGAGCTGCATATAACCAACGATAAAGGACACGGAACACCAACACATGTTCACACTGTCCATAAACAAAACGATCACCCTCGGCCCATGCGCAGGGCGCATGAGGTCCGAGCTGCACCACCCATTTTTCGGGGAGGGTGCCTACAAGGTTTATTTAATGATTATTAGTAATGTATTGACAGAGTACGGAGAGAAGATGTGATTACCAAATAATGAGATATACTATCAAAGGATGATAAGTAGTACAGAAGAGGACCAATGAGTCCTATAAAGGACTGGAGGTAAGCCTCACCAGAAGTTGACAGGCGTTCCAATAATATTTTAAGTATTGAAGATCTTCTCGAACCTTCGAGAACCTTAATAATTAAGCACAAAATCACAGAGGCTCATAGGAGCCCATTGGCATCCGTGACCAATGGTCATACAGGATCCCAATACGATTTGAACATGATTGCAACATGATGTAGAAGAATACATGTCCAAGAATGTTGAGAATGTGATTAAAATTACCCACAGGAATGACAGAACCGACAGACCTGAAGGGACACAGAACTGAACCCGGGGAGGGTCCGATGCCCAAACTAACTCGTATGCAAAGGCGGGAAAGGAAAACCCCACTCCTTGTAACAGAAAACCCCCACTCTGAGGGTTAGAAAACCCAAGCAGGGTCCAATGGGGCTCAAGGCTCCAAAGTTAGCTCCTCCCCAACCCCGGGAACCTCCACATCAGGCCCCGGGAATGAGGCATCCTCCAAAGCCCCGGACTCATAAGAAAAAACCAGCATTGAATGTAATGAAACGCCATTTTCTGGGTGAGACCCGGAGGCTTCCCGGAGCTTTACTGGCTGATATGCTAATGTCAGACTTTGGCATCAGTCATGTGTATGGAGTTCTAGGGCCTACCGGGGACCACGGCTAGAACCTGGCCCCCTCGAGAGGCAAGGGGAGCAATGGCCTATAGAAACCCCCGTGTGGTAGGAAGCATTCTATGTCTGCCATTGACCGGGTCAAGCATCCAGAAAGGTAAGCATTCCAAAACAAACCCCTATTCTGGTGAAAATTGCTACCTAAAGCCGAACTAGTGGATAGAACTCTTCAACAGAAAACAAGGGAACTAGTATGACGTCATACGTCACCGCGCCGCTGTCTGCGCAGCTCCCCCCTCCCCGGGAGGAGGAAGGGGGAGCGCCAGACCTCCCACGCCGGCTATCCACCCATCAGTTCTGAGGCTGGATGTCAAAACACACGAAAAACCGCCGACCGGAGGGAGGGAGGGTTGCCGGGGAGCCTCCGGGTCTCACCCAGAAAATGGCGTTTCATTACATTCAACGCTGGTTTTCTGGGGGGAGCCCCGTCAGCTCCCCGGAGCTAACTACCCACAGAGGAAGGTCAAAGGGACAGAACCGGGAGGCGGACACCACGCACCCCCACGGAAGCGAGACAACTGGCAGGAAACGCCAACCCAAGGCGCCACAGCCCCGAAAAGTCATGGGAACAACACGAGAACAACGAGCAGCAAGGCCCCCGCACGAACACCAAAAATCCATGCCTGAAAGACCGCAAGGCCACGTCGCCCAGACGGCAGCGAGAGCAGCGAAGCCACGAACGCCACAGGCATGAGGGAAGAACACAGGCAGCTTAGCCGGAAGAACACGGCTGACCACCCGGGACACCATCATCCGCGAACCGGGAAGAACAGAACCGGATCAACGCAAAACGCGCTCCAGACCCAAACGCCGTGGCACGGAAACAACAGCGGAGGGCCGCCACTGAACACCAAAACACGACACACCCCCGGCCCGACCAACGAAGCACCAACAAACCCTGGACCCCTCCAGAACGCAGCAGCCCCACCCCGCGCCAGAAAAGATGGAGACTGCTGCCACCGAACAACCAAAACGCTAAAACCGAAGGAGCAAGAAAACTCAGTGACTCGACCCCCAGAGGCAAAGGCCAAAAGGAAAGAGCCGACGAGAAAACACACCGAAACCGAAGGGGCACTACCAACCGAGGAGAAGACAGAGCACGCTGACCAGAGACCAGGATGGTGCAAGCAGCGCACGAACAGGCCGGAGGTGAAACGACGCACCAGACAGCTTACTAACGG